GTTTGTTGAAATCAGTATTTAGAGGATCCCAGATATCGGCGAGATCCGAATCTTCAATAATTCTGTTAGACATGCTTTCGCTATTTAAAATCAGCAAAATTGGTCCATAAATACCGGAGATATGAGCAAAAATCCGAGGCAACCTCTGAAAATTTCATAAAAAAGACAACCCAACAAAAAATAATTGATGTCATACTTTACAAACGACATGTTAATCACATCCAAAAATGCGATTGTATACTTTTCGCTTTTATAAACCAAACATACAAATAAAAATTTCATAAAAAAGACAGCCCAGCAAAAAATAATTGATGTCATACGTTACAAACGACATGTTAATCAAATCTAAAAATGCGATTGCATACTTTTCGCTTTTATAAACCAAACATATCCTTACAAATGAAAACACAGTTAAAAATGGGGAAAGAGATGTAGAAAAATCACTACAAACAACATATTCGAAGTACTTAAAATTTTGATGAAAAACCAATGAAATTTACACAAGTGCTTCATTAAAAGAATGTGGTTTATTTTTGACATACAAATATCGGATTTTTACAGCTTCTAAAGATAGAATTAGATGTAGTTCAAAGTTGTCAAAAATGAACGACATCCCTCCAATGACACGCTAATGTAAAATTCATAGGTTTTTCACCTGTGATGAAAATTCTACATCTTTTTCCGCACTTTTTTGCTGGGAATTTTTTTTCATGCTTTGATATAAGCAACCACTGTTGCCAATTTAGCTATTTTCTCGTCAAATCTAGCGATTTTTAAGCCCATTTTGCGGGGAAAAATATGATTTAGCTATTAGCGGGAAATCTAGCGATTTTTCTTTAGAATTTAAGGCATTTTTTATTCATTTATATTTTGATAATATCGCTTAAAAGTTGCTACGAATGACGATATTTACATATATGTATGTATATAAAAATATGCATTCAATGTAAATTATTTGAGTTTTAGCTGTGTGTATTATACTTATTTTGAATGTTCTGAAGAACATAATTAGGAGCAAATATTTGTGCGTACAGGTAAAGTTATACGAAAAACTTTAAAAGGGGTATATTTTGTTGTACTCAATTAAAAAACGAATATTTAATTATTCTAGTCTTTTAGTAAATGAGTGATATGATAATAAAATTTACCATAATTCTAAAAATTAGTGAACATTGGAAATAAGTGACGAAAGGATCGATCCATAAAGTCCTAAAAATTTACAACATTTCTAAAGCGTATTGGGCCGCATATCAATATTGCAGATAAACTTCCCACCAAAGGAGTGTATAATAATAATCTTGGGTGCCCCGGTAGGCTAGTTGGTAGTGTGCTAGCCTGTCAGTCTGGGGGTTGTGGGTTCGATTCCCAGCAGAGATCCTGGTCTGCTGCACTACAACGGTCGTATGGTTATCGTCACCCTGCTCGCTAAATTAGGTTAGAATATAATTTGTAATTGTATTGTAATGGAAAAATAAATAATACTCTTATGCCGAAAATAAAGGATCGATCCATAAAGGCCAGCATTTCGAAATTCAATTTATCTTTACAACATTTCTAAAGCAATCTGTATAGGGTCGCATACAGAGATACAAGCCGATGGGGAATGATCGGCGGCGGCGGCGCAACCATTTTTGATCGGCGGCGGCGGCTTATTACAGAAAATATCGGCGGCGGCTAAATTGTCGGCTCAATTTAACTTTTTCTTTAGAAATTGACCTTATAAGGTTTATTATATTGAAAAATCTTTGTATAATAGTCTGTTACATAGAAACCTGTCTCTATATAAGTTTTTTTCTGCAGAAAATGGACATTTATAGTAGTTTTCACTATTTTAATATTAGCACAATATTGTGTGGCAACTCTTTTCAATTTTCCATAAGAATTTAAAATAGTGGCAACTCCGTTCAATCTGGTGAAATTATGTTCTGAAATACATGTGTGATTCTAATCTTTATCAGCGGCTACGTTTAAGCCGGCTTAGCTTTTGAGCCGAAAGAAGTCGGCGGCGGCGCGGCTTGCAAAATATTACCGGCGGCCAGCCGCCGCCGATTTGAGCCGTCTCGGCTTGTATCTCTGGTCGCATATCGAAATTAACCTCAACATTTTTCCTAACCCAAAGTGAAAATATTTAACATAAAAAAAGATTCTTTTATGTGTTTGTTATAAGATGTGTTTGTATCACTATCCCATTCCTACGTATGTATATAGATTTTAGTGATAAATCGCTGACTTTTAAGAATAATATAAAAAATCTGAAAAATTTAGCTAGTTTTTTTTAGCTATTTCTTTTTAGAATCATATAATAAATATTATTTTGACGATTTATCGCTAAATTTTTCAAAATGTCTTGAATTTAGCTATTTTCTAGCTATTTTTCAGTCGACTTTAGCGATATTTTTGGAAAAAAGTTGGCAACAGTGTAAGCAACAACATCAACACTGCTTATTCATTGAGTATTTCGTTTCGTATGTTTGGATGCCTGTGTGTTTCATTGCCTTCTGTATATTGTTTTTGATTCTTGGTGCATTCAGTTTCGTATGTTTGGATGTCTGTTGGATTCATTACGTTGTGTATTTTGTTTTCTTTTTTTTTTGAGTATTTCTTTTCGTATATTTGGATGCTGTTGGTTTTACTGCCTTATGTACAGGGCTGCCAGATGAATTTTTGAAAAAATCGTCAATTTCACGATAAATTTTTAAATGATCGTCATTTTGGTTTTAAGAAATCGTCAAAAAAAATCGGAGAATATGAAAGCTTAAAATTTTTATAAAAAATTAAAAATATTGTAAGATGAAATATATTAAAAAATTTATAATATAATTCAAAAGTTATAAGAAATAATGTACATAGCATACACATTTAGATTTAAAATATGTTTAAGCTTTGAGAGCTTAAAACTCAAAACACCCTTTTGACTTACAATGTTTTATAATAGCTCTTCTAGAATTTAATTTCTAGTTTTTATTATAATATATATTATATTTTCACTGAATACCAACTTTAATATTAATTTCCTTTTTTCACTGTAAAATAAAATAATCTTTAATTTTTTTAATTTTTAAAAAATCGTCAGTTTCAAAGAAAAAATCGTCACTTTGCTATTTTTGAAACAAAGAATCGTCAAAATGACGATAAATCATCAAATCTGGCAGCTATGCTTATGTATTTTGTTTTTTTGTGTGGTTATTTCATCTAGCGTTGTTGTTCATTTTGTTTTGCTATTGCTATAATAATGATATAGTCGGGAAAATTAAATAAATTTAAATTTTATGAAATTGATATTTATTAAATACCCTATGGTGAAGGGTATAGAAGATTCGGCACAGCCGAATATAGCACTCTTACTTGTTTCCCCTAAGTTCTAATTTTGTCAGATTTTCGCCATTTGGCCTAATTTTTGTCCCCTTCCGGTCCAATTTTCGCAACGGCACTTTGCTAATATATATTTCTAACAAATTAAATAGTTTAATCGAAAATGCTTTAAGGGTAGACAAAATCAGTATTTACTACTAAAGTACTAATTTTGCCCGTTTTTCAACCATTTTACCCCCTCCTAGTCCAAGTTCTGAAAAAAATATAGCCTATAACACTCTCCAAGTATAGATCTAACTGTGTTCCAAATTTGAAGCAAATCGGTCCAGCCGTTGAGGCGTGGTTGACGAACAAACAAACAAACGAACAGACTTACAAAGAGATTTATAATATATAAAAGAAGTTGGTAGCGCATACTTCCGAGTGGGGCCCCAAAGTTTAATACATTTCAGTTTAATCGCTTAATAAAAATTTTTTACAACTGTTCACGCGGTGAACAAAAGATACCAGACTTGCCCAATTCTGACCCAAATGTTCTATCATCGCCCATCAATGGTATAACAAACTGCAGCCAACTTCAACGGCATCAAGTAAAGAGAAGAAAGTAGAATTGAGAAGAAAAAAGAAGTTGATCAACAACAATAGAAAAAGTGTGTGAGCAAGCGATGATCAGTCAAAATGTATTCATAATACATTTGTTCAATTCACAATCGATGTTGTAGCGTTGTATGCGTTGTATGTCAGCAGCTGCTACAATAGTCATAACAATGTTGTTGGTATTTTCTATGCAAAAGCACTATACAACTCCTACTAAAATTTTTCATATGTTTTTCGAATGTTGTAAGAAAGTTTAGTGTTGCCAATTGTTTATTTCGACATATAAACAAAAAATTCAAACGATTTTAGCATAAAAAACGATAAAGTGGTAACACTGAAATCAAAAACAAACAGCTGTTTACCAAAACAAAAAAACTAAAATTTTATTAAAAACTGTTTATTTATTAGTTTAAAATGTGGAATAAAGAATATAAAAGCATTGAAAATTCAAAGAAATTAATTTGGTTTATTTCGCATGTTTAATTAATTTAATATTTTTTTGATTTTTTTATCTTTTGACATTGTTATGTATATTTGTTTTGATTGTTTTTTTTTTTTTTTTTTCATTGAAAACATAAACTTATGACTTGCTGCAAAGATCTGTTCACAATCACTGTTACTACACTTTAGTAGGTACAATATACAACTTGATTGTGAATTGAACAATTATATAATAATTATATATGTCAGACCCATTCGTAAGAATGAAAAATTCGTTATAAAACTAATAAAGTTAAACAATATACTCCTTTAAAAAATTTTTCAAAACTAAAAAAATCTTATATTTACTTTTAAAAACATTTTAATAATAAATTGTAATACTTCAAACATTTTTTTAACCGATTTAAAATTTGTCTACAAGAACAATTTTGTATACTCGAAAATGTTAAATTTTTTCCATATAAACGCATTTACGAACTTTGGCGGTGAGCGCCAAAGTCTTCCATTCTCTTATATGTACATATTTAATTCAAGAACCTAATTTTTAGATCTGGGAACCCTTCATTTCTGTCTTATATGTTAAAAAATATATTCTGCCTTTTATTTAACGAGAAATTTTTAAAGTCCCTAATGGAAAATCCTTTACTTACTTGTTGGAAACACATAAATGCTATGAAGACGCGAATAGAATTCGTCTGCTTGTGAGGCAAATGTTGAAAATTCCTCATCGAAAAATTCATATCTATTGTCACTTAACATAATGTCATCATTATGTGTTCTTTTTAGAGTTCTGCTTGAATCATCAGCATCATCCTCCTCGTCTACTAACTCGTCCTGGACATTTTTCGCGCTCGCTTTAGTTTTTGGTTTATGAATTTTATTGTTATAATGTGGATGTTTGTAGACGGATGATTGGGTCGATATCCTTGAATAATTAAAATTTTTGTAGAAATTATCCAGTATTTTTTGAGGCACTACTAGTGGTGGATCTGTTATATTGGGTGGTTGTGTTATTTGCAAACGCATCAAGATATTTTTCTTTATCGATTCCAATGTTTCTTTTTTAGTATTTTCATGGTGTTGGCACGAAGAGCAACCAGGATCTCTTGTAAATTTTGTGGAGTTATTCGCCGATTTCAATGTGGAATTATCGTCATCGTATTCAAAAACATAATCCTCATCAAATGCAGATGTTTCGTCGTCTAAGTTGTAGAGATGTTTATGTTTGGCATGATTTATTTGAGCCCTAGTGACGTTTGTATTGCGAGCGATTTTAAAAATATGGTGCTTTTGCAGTATATCGTCATGATTGATTAAATTTGAACTGCTTTCATCGGTGTAAAATATAAATGACGATGAAAATAAATTATTTGATAAATACACTTTTCGTTCATTTTTTGGAAAATCATAGGTTGCGGATGTAGTTATGTTGAATATTTTTGAAGTGTAATCCTTGATGCGATTACTTAAGCCTTCTTCTAATTGAAAATTGCTTTCATCATTACTAAATAATTCCTCTACTGTTGTTGTTGATATCACATTCAAAATTATAGTAAATATGAGTAAGATTGACCCAAGAGAATATTTGCTTGAAACATTATGGGCACTTCTTGATTTGATAAATAATTTTAGAAAATAAACCCTTTTTCTTGGTTCCATGGATTTATTTGGATCTTATTATTATTATTTGGATGATGTTATAAATCTAGAAATATAAAATAATTATTGAAAAACTATTTTAAAAATAAACTTCGTTTATCACAAATTTATTTACAAATTTATGTTATCGCTCATTTACTGCAAAACTGGCATAATACGAAATTCGCGTTTTTTTTAGTACAAATCATGCGTCATACTAAAGTCTTTTATATAGTTTCATAAAATTTGAAATATGTCTATTATTTTTGGTGCGAGATCGATTTTTTTCAGTTAATTCCACAATCATTGCTTGAATAATTCAAAAGTTATTGCAAATCCCCCTGGCCCTTACTCGAAACCAAGGTAAAATTGCTTTATTATGAAAAATAAATCAGATTTAGTATGTATTTATAACTATGGTAGGATATCTTTGGTCGACCACGCCTCGACTATAAATACTTTGTTAGTGTGAAAGGAGGATGTATTTACATCATATCCGAAGAAATATTTGGTGAACTAGATCAAATAAAGATAAGAAGATATACGCAAATTTTGGTTTCATATTAAAGGTCTTGAAAAGATATTTCATTGTTATATCAATTATATGCGAAAATTTTTAATTGAAATTGTTATATAATAAACTAGCTGCGCGTACCCGCCGTTGCCCGGGTTTCTTCTAAAAGTAAAGAGAATATTTTTCTATCTGTAATGACTACACCTTTTGTAATAGATGTCAAAATTTAGCTTATAACGATAAAATAGTTATTATATTTTTCTGCATTTTGTTTAATACTTAAAGTCATTTTCTGGACCAAAATGTCCCTTAAAAATTTACAAATTGAAAATAAACCTTAATTAGGAGATTTTGACTAATTTTTAGAAACATTTAGGAAACTTTTTTTGAGAAATTAAACTGAAATCATCATTCTCAATCACTGGTAGGGAACTAAGGACACTTTCAAATTAGTTGTTTTATTTTTCCCATGTGCAGTAGATTTAAAGAACTGTTCAGTTTAAATTCGGTCACAGTGTACTTTGAATTGTAGTGGCCCTGGTGTATAGAGGCAAAAGGCTTTAATTTCGGAATTTGTAATTGGAAAATATGTGCTGGAGTTATTCAAAATCATTATTTAATTTGAAAAGCTTGGAATAAATACGGCGCTACATACGGAAAAAGTTGTGCAGAATTTTTGGTGGATAATTTTCTAAAAGTATAAAAAGATATCGAAAGATCAATTTATCCAAATTTTATATGAACAATGCTTTCTATGCATCGTTTGAGAGGTCTACCTATATAAGATTTGCAAAAGTGCTGTCTTTCGGAACACTCTAATGAGTAGTCAAATTCATATCTTCATGGTTTAGATTTGGGCTGCATTTAAAAAATGGAAACCAAATTTATATCAAGATAATTTTTTGATGGCATATTTACCTGATCATAGATTTTAAATTTAAATTTTATATTTTTGATATAAAACTCGATTTGTATGGAAAATATGAGCGATTACGGATCTTTATTGTTTTCTCAAATTGAGAGTTATATAAAGTAAATTTTTAAAGAGTTATATAAATAGAAATTTTAAGGGGAGATATGAATGATAGATTTAGGTGTTATAAAAGGAACCACAGCCGATTTAGAATTCGACTTTTAGTGAAAATGTGATATGAATATATTATTTTCCCTCTTTTAGCGGTTTTTGTTCAGTAGTTTCTATTTTGCATACAAATGTGGCATTGTAGACATTCATTCAAGATCTAATAAAGATTCTGTTTTAAAATAGTTATTTTCTGAGAATATACTGCAGATTACAGGTTTCGAAATAAAAACAGTTTTCTGGTGGAAAACACTTTAGATGAAAATCGATTTTTGATAATAAATTAAATTGAATACTGATTTTAATTTTACCTAATCGTAAAGTTAGTTAAGGATCTACAAACATTTTAGAGTTTTCATATGAAAATTAATTTTTGATTAAAAATTTAACTATATAATAATTCTCATATACTATGAGAATTATATATCATGATCTTTAGCATTATTAATGTAACAAAAAGTGGACGGAAAAAGGTTATTGCATTTCATTAAGATCACAACAGGCCCGAAATCAGTGCTATAGGTGTATTTATTCGGATTTGGTGTATTAAACATTCTCTTCCCCAAACTAACCTAACCTTCCAGGATAGAACTATTATCATGCAAAATTTCATGAAGCAGAAAATCCAGATCAAAAAGTTGATTCCAAAAATACTCTGTATGCTGCCAAATTTCTTGAAAATCGGTTTATGTTTTTTATATTTAGCCTAGAAATTTGGTGTTATAGCTGTTATTCAAAAAGTGAACATGAGAATGTGCGTAGCATCCAATCAATATCATGTAGAGTTTTTTTAGCTTCTGAGGTTAGACCTATTAAATGCCAAATTTTATGTAAATAAGTTTATTAGTTATGTAGTAAAAGAGTAAAAAAAGAGTCTCATATATATTTATTATTATATATTATAGGTTTTGATCATGTAATGTGTCGTACTGTTTATTCCACAACATTCATTATAACAGATTTCATGAAAATCGGATCAGTAGTTTTTTGTGTGCATGAACGTAAATTTGGTTTAATAATTGTTTTACAAAAAGTTGCTGTAAAAAGGGGCGTGGCGTCCGATACTGATCCTGAGATCAGAACTATCGGTATACCAAATTTCATGTAAATCGGTTCAGTAGTTTTCTGTAAGTCTCGAATGAAAATTTTGTATAACAATTATATAGAAAAAAGTGAGCATAAGTAGAATTGTGACGTCAAATCAAGATTTTATATAGCCTCTTACTCCACTTTAGAATAGAACTATTAGAGTTCTACATTTCATGTAATTCGGTTCAGTAGTTTGTCCGTGAAAGCGTAACAAACAGACTTTTTCTTTCATATAATTATAGGATAAGATATAGGTTATGATAGTTTTATAAAAAGTGGGCGTAGAAAGGGGCGTGGCATTGGATCAAGTTCTTATATATAACCTATAGTTCTTTCCAAGCTTATACCTATCGGTGTGCAAAATTTCAGGTTAATCGGTTTAGTAGTTTTTGCATATTGTGATTGCAAAATTGGTCTAATAATAGTTTTACAAAAAGTGGGTGTAAAAAGGGGCGTGGTATCCTATCAAGATCTTATATAGCCTATTGTTCCTTTTGGGGTTATACCTATTTACGGTCCAAATGTCATGTAAATCGGTTGAGTAGTTTTGCCGTGAAAGCGTAACAAACAAACAAACAAACAGTCTGTTTCACAGATTTATTTTTTTGTTTTCCAAACCCGTTTTCACCCCGATCTTGTGTCAGCTATTTAATAACGCCTTAAATAATATGTTTATCAAAAATCGTGTAATTTCAAAAGCATTTCATTTTTATACGGGCAATTTCGTGTCAAGTGACCCAACTTTTAAAATCGATATCTTACGATTTGGATGAAATTTGCACCAAGGTTAGTACTATTGGATAGTAGGCCAGACAACTCGATCGGTCAAGAATGCCTTAGTTAGAAGGGGTCAAAGTTGGACATTTTGGTCATACAGGTTTTATTCAAATGAGTGTAACTTTTCACCTATTGGTCCTAACAAAAATTATCCAAAGGAGTTACATTGTTTCCACAAAAATTTTTTTAATTTAAATTTTGTTTTCTAATTTTTTTAATATTTTTCAAATTTTTATAAAATTAAAACAAGTTAGAGTGCTATATTCGGCTATGCCGAATCTTATTAAAACCCTACTTTTTATTAAAACCCATTTAACAATGTATTTAGTTTTTAGATAACTATTCCTAGGTTTTGTTTTCGTAATATAGTAATTTCTTTATAGAACTTATTTTGATTAGGTCGAAAAATGTATATTAAGTGATTTTTGGATATGGACTTTTTACGGGTGGTATGACTTATTATGGGCTACGACTTATAATGGATCCATTAGAAATCATTTTAGCAAAATGATTTATCTATACACAGAACATGCTCATGTTGATTTTTTCCGGATATAATCATTTAATAATGAATTATGTGGTATTAAGTGATTTTCAGAAGTGAACATAATATGGGAGCTATGACTAATTATGGACCGATCTGAAAAAAATTCCGTATACATATTCATAAACATATTCAAGTTGAATTTTATTCCGATAACTTTTATTCTCAATGATATTGTGCATTTAAGTTATTTTCGGAAATGATCCTTATATGGGAATTGTGATTAAATATCGAGCGATTCGGGAAAAATTTCGCATAATCATTTATATATATTTATTAGTTAATGAAATATGTGGGTAGAGTGAAAAAAATCACTGAATGATTTATATATACACAAAACATATTCGTGTCGAATTTTAGCCCGTTAGCTTTATTAGTTAGTGAAATATGAACGATTAAGTGATTTTCGGAAGTGGATCTTATATGGGAGCTATGACCAATTATGGACAGATGCGGAAAAAAAATTGGTAGAGTGATTTATACATACCCAAAACATTTTTATATCAAATTTTATCTCGATAGCTTTTTTATCAATGATATATGCTTGTTTAAGTTATGTTCCTGAATTGGGCCTTATATGAGAGCCATGACCAATTGTGAACCGATAAGAATCTTCGTTAGTGGTATGATTTCTGTTCATATTATATATTTATTTTTTTGAGTTGATACCGATATATTTGAGGAAGTTATTAACGATAAATCCATTTCCGGAAATATGTACCTTTGTATGGGGGCTATGTGAAATTTTTGATCGATTGTTATGATTTTGAACATAATTGATCCCTGGATAAAAAAATTACGTGTGACAAAATTATTCGGATTATCTTTTGTAGTGGCTGAGAAAACTGCTTAAGAATTACAAAAAAATTAAATTTTTTTTGAGGTAGTCTTACAAACTTCTATCACCACTGATGGTTGTACAGGGTATAAAATTTTTTTTGGAGACAATGCAGAAATACACTGAACGTCAAAAGTGAGTATATTTTGTTTTATTATTATAATGCAGAATATAAATGCGATTTGTGGATAAAATTTGTAAAAGTAAAATCATTAAATATTAATTAATAATGAAAGAGATTATTTTCATTTTAATTGGAAATATTTTATTTTTTCCTATTTGAAGTGAAAAACTCCAAAATTTTCGACCCGAAAGTGAGAATACAGGCTCATTAATTTTTGTTACAAATGGCGAATGTCACCAATTTTTTCATGGAATATCATTTTTTTAGATTTTTATAATTTTTTTATCACATTTAATAAAAAATATCATAAATTTCACCGACTACCCCGGAAATTTTAAAAATAACGATGCAGTTAACAATTTTAAACAATTTTCACTAAAATGACGTAATGACAAAAACCTTAAAAATTCGTTGCTCTCATATTGCATATGATGATTCATTAATTAAATTTTTTCGAAAAAAATGGCTAAGTAACCGACAAAACAAACCGTTCTAAATATCGTCAAGTATAGTTGAGGATTTTGTATGATTTGCAACTTTTTAATAGGGTTTAGATTTTTAAAATTTATTCATACAAAAATTGAGTAAGACGTTGGTGTAAAGTGTTTTCAAGAAATTGTGTCAAAATTGGACATTTTAGGACATTAGACTTTATAATATGTCAATGACCGCATGAGTTCTTTGCTGTTTTGGAAGCGAAATCTGGAATATTGATGACCTAGTCAGTTCAATAGCAGCAACAACCGTCACATCTTAATTCTAGCATTAATATAAGTCATTATTTTAACCGCCAGATCAGAGAATGGAACGTTAGAAGCAATAAAAAAACATTCTCGAAACATTCTCGAAAATTCCCGGATATGTCGGTGAAATTTATAATATTATGTATTAAGTGTGATAAAAAATGTATAAAAATTTAAAAAATTATATTCCTTGAAAAATTATACTCACTTTTGGCTCGAAAATTTTGGAGTTTTTCACTTTAAATCAGAAAAATTTTAATTTTTCCAATTAAAATTCTCTTTCATTATTATTTAATATTTAAGGATTTTACTTTTACTAATCGCTTTTATGTTCTGCATTATAATAATAAAACAGAATAAGTCACTCATTTTTGACGCTCATTTTTGAGCTATCTGAACTCCTTTGGACAATTTTTGCTAGGAAAGTTACACTCATTTTAATAAAACCCTGTATGACCAAAATGTCCAACTTTGACTCCCTCTAATTCCCGCAGTTCTTGACCGATCGAGCTGTCTGGCCTACTATCCAATAGTACTAATAGTAGACATTAATAACGCTACTGTGTATGTTTGTAACCTAAATATTTCTAGAAAAAAGAATACATCTCGCACAAGAATATAATAATAATTTAAGAATTTTTTGGCTCTTATGCAGTGTTGCCACAACAAAATTTTTTTCTAACCAAAATTCGAATAAAAAATAACCAAATTAAGAAAAAAGTAAACAAAATCATTTTTATTTGTTTCATGTTTACATTTGGACATTAAAATAACAAATTCATTTTCTGAAGTGGAACTTGTAACTATGTTAAATTTCGTCGCTAAACTGGTATTATGAAGACAGTTATGAGCGTTAATGTAATTTTCTGTACGGAATCTTATATGAGACGTATGGTCAATTATGGACCAATTCTCATAAAATCTGACAGAGATATTTTAGTTCCTTTAAAACTTGATTATTTCGAATTTTGTTGCTATGTTGCAGTACATTATGAGCTTTAAAGTCATTTTCTGAGGAGACTTTTTATGAGGGATAGAGTCAATTATGTACCGATCCTCATAAACTTTGACAAATACATTTCCAATAAAACTTTTTTATATTGAATTTCATCGCTATAGATGCTTTTTTAAGCAATATAGTAATTTTCTGAATAGGAAATCGTTGACCGATATTTCGCATTTTCAATACCAATCAAACTGGGTCAATTAAAAATATTTTGGCAAAATATTTCAGTTTTCTATCTTGTTTCTTTTCGACTCTATCGTGTTTTCAACAATAAATATATGTCTCTTCGCGGATTCGTTAACAAATGTAATTAATATTTATTTAAAAAAACAACTGAGTTTTTAACGCGTTTTAGCGCAATTCAAAAATACTCCACATATGACTTTTTGGAAAACAATTTTAAATTATAAAATTCTTCCCATTTTATCTACAGATTTGGAGATTTCGTTCGAAATTTGGGTTTAAGGGGTATATTTGACCAAATTATAATACCATGTAGCAGATGTTAGCATTACATTCATAACTTCAGCAATATTTGTAAACATAATCTATCCAAATTATTCGACAAATTGACCAAAATTTGGTAGAAGTCAAATATCATGAGTATCAAATCTTTGCATATATCGCGATTATTGTTCGAAAAATACCCTTATGCACATAAGTATAACCAGTAGATGTACGAATTGCAGTAATAAAAAATTTCGAATAGTAAAAAAAAAAAATTCCACATATTACCAAAATTCAAAACAGGACGATATGTATATTTACATAGTTGATTTAAAACTAGAGATAAAAGAAGTTTTTTTTAATTTTATTTTTAGAATAAAAGCAAACAGCATTTAGTTCAATTCTTTGCAAAAAATAACCAAAACGAAAAAGTAATTCACATGTACACATGCAAAATAAAAATAACCAATTTTTGGTTAATAATAACCAAAGTGGCAACACTGCTCTTATGTAAGTAATTTAAAAAAATAACAAATATGAATGTAAAGTCGGGCACGGCCGACCATATGATACCCAACACAAGTGAGTATGTTAAATAAAAACATTTAATTTGATTTTTATCTTAATTCCGAAATAATGGTCCAATTTCAACCACTTTCATCAAATTATCTTGAAGTTCAAGTTTATTTTCAAAGTATCATTCTTTACATGTTCGCTTAAAACTATTTTATATTATATATTTTTTCCTACATACTAAGTATTTTAGTGGGACTTGTCAACTAAATAAATAAAAGTATTTGTAGTCTCACCACAAAATCCATCATTCAAAAATTAATTACATTTCAAATATGTCATTAAATAAAATATTCTCCGAAAAAAGGGAAGAAAAAGGAGATAGATAACTTATTAACTAAATATTAAATAATCTCTTAAAACTAAAATAGAAAATATGTACAAAGATAGGGAAATTATTTACAAACGATAAGGAGAAAGGAATATATGTATATATTTACAAAATATTAGGCTTATAGCCTATTGCGCAGTATTATATACTGTGTCATCGATATCCAAAGTATTAATCCTCCTGTGGTAAAACATAAGGTTCGCACCCTCATAGAGTAGTCTGGCCTCTCTCAAGGACAGGAGATCAACTGGGGACATATATCGAGACGATCGAATCATCTCAATATCTACCGCCCGTGCAAAACATTCCTGCACCAGACTGTTCCCTAGAGAACGAGCCTTTTCCAGGAAAGCTATTGCAGTTCTGACCATAAATTTGTCAATCCTGTCAAACCCTATCGACTTATAGATAGACCCATATGGACACACAACAGAAATGACAGCCAGACATTGCTAAATCGATTCTGAGCTAATTGGTATAGGTATATTTTTGGATAAATTTTGTGTATTTCAATATGTATGTCACATAAATATTATTTATATGTAGGTGATTCGAGATATCCATTTGAACCTTGGTTGTTAACACCCTACAGAAATCCCCAAGAAAATTCAATAGAAACGAAGTTTAACGATATTCATTCCAAAGAAAGGTGTATTGCCGAAAAGACAATTGGAATTTTGAAGACCTGCTTGAAAGTCTAATGTCGAGACAAGCGATGTCGTTATAGTGCCGCACATTGCACATTTCTCTAATGTACGTGCAGCTCTACACAATATTTGCATGCATTTTAAAGAGCCCAATTACGAAGACATACAACAAACGCCATTGGACACGGGAATACCTGAAATAGATACGGGAACAGAAACACAAATAACCAATGTGGGGGAAAGATTAGAGACAACATTAAATTTAACTTATGTTCCTAGAATTAAACGATTTTTTCTATTTTTGTTATTAAATTTAATCCAACAGAAAAATATGTAAATGTTTTGACAAAAAAATCAAATTAATAAGATCAACAGAACAAAATATAAGAATTAAATATTTTAATCAATTAAGATATTACACCTATCGCCAATTTCGTTCACTAAATTTTTTGGTGGTGAAAAAAATTCCCTGTTGTGAAATTTATTGATGGAATTTTGCATACAAAATGAACTACTATGAATGACCATAGGGGTGATTAAAATTTATTTTTTCCCACTTCTTTTTACATATTTGTAGTTCCATTTCTTTTACTTAAATTTTTAAATTATACTCTCATTCCTTCATTTTAAAGATCTTCATTTTTAAGATCTTGAGAACTTAAATGGCTAAGTAACCGACAAAACAAACCGTTCTAAATATCGTCAAGTGTAGTTGAGGATTTTGTATGATTTGCAACTTTTTTATAGGGTTTAGATTTTTAAAATTTATTCATACAAAAATTGAGTAAGACGTTGGTGTAAAGTGTTTTCAAGAAATTGTGTCAAAATTGGACATTTTAGGACATTAGACTTTATAATATGTCAATGACCGCATGAGTTCTTTGCTGTTTTGGAAGCGAAATCTGGAATATTGATGACCTAGTCAGTTCAATAGCAGCAACAACCGTCACATCTTAATTCTAGCATTAATATAAGTCATTATTTTAACCGCCAGATCAGAGAATGGAACGTTAGAAGCAATAAAAAAACATTCTCGAAACATTCTCGAAAATTCCCGGATATGTCGGTGAAATTTATAATATTATGTATTAAGTGTGATAAAAAATGTATAAAAATTTAAAAAATTATATTCCTTGAAAAATTATACTCACTTTTGGCTCGAAAATTTTGGAGTTTTTCACATTAAATCAGAAAAATTTTAATTTTTCCAATTAAAATTCTCTTTCATTATTATTTAATATTTAAGGATTTTACTTTTACTAATCGCTTTTATGTTCTGCATTATAATAATAAAACAGAATAAGTCACTCATTTTTGACGCTCATTTTTGAGCTATCTGAACTCCTTTGGACAATTTTTGCTAGGAAAGTTACACTCATTTTAATAAAACCCTGTATGACCAAAATGTCCAACTTTGACTCCCTCTAATTCCCGCAGTTCTTGACCGATCGAGCTGTCTGGCCTACTATCCAATAGTACTAATAGTAGACATTAATAACGCTACTGTGTATGTTTGTAACCTAAATATTTCTAGAAAAAAGAATACATCTCGCACAAGAATATAATAATAATTTAAGAATTTTTTGGCTCTTATGCAGTGTTGCCACAACAAAATTTTTTTCTAACCAAAATTCGAATAAAAAATAACCAAATTAAGAAAAAAGTAAACAAAATCATTTTTATTTGTTTCATGTTTACATTTGGACATTAAAATAACAAATTCATTTTCTGAAGTGGAACTTGTAACTATGTTAAATTTCGTCGCTAAACTGGTATTATGAAGACAGTTATGAGCGTTAATGTAATTTTCTGTACGGAATCTTATATGAGACGTATGGTCAATTATGGACCAATTCTCATAAAATCTGACAGAGATATTTTAGTTCCTTTAAAACTTGATTATTTCGAATTTTGTTGCTATGTTGCAGTACATTATGAGCTTTAAAGTCATTTTCTGAGGAGACTTTTTATGAGGGATAGAGTCAATTATGTACCGATCCTCATAAACTTTGACAAATACATTTCCAATAAAACTTTTTTATATTGAATTTCATCGCTATAGATGCTTTTTTAAGCAATATAGTAATTTTCTGAATAGGAAATCGTTGACCGATATTTCGCATTTTCAATACCAATCAAACTGGGTCAATTAAAAATATTTTGGCAAAATATTTCAGTTTTCTATCTTGTTTCTTTTCGACTCTATCGTGTTTTCAACAATAAATATATGTCTCTTCGCGGATTCGTTAACAAATGTAATTAATATTTATTTTAAAAAACAACTGAGTTTTTAACGCGTTTTAGCGCAATTCAAAAATACTCCACATATGACTTTTTGGAAAACAATTTTAAATTATAAAATTCTTCCCATTTTATCTACAGATTTGGAGATTTCGTTCGAAATTTGGGTTTAAGGGGTATATTTGACCAAATTATAATACCATGTAGCAGATGTTAGCATTACATTC